GAGAGGCCCTACTCTGGACCGGATGTTCAGGAAGAGGAAGGGGAGGGCCAAAAGTATGTGCTGTGTTTATGATGTTTATATTACATTCATCCAAAAAGGAATTTCTGTGGTTCCTATTCAGAGTTTTAGGAAATCTTGCTGAGAATAATTGTGGATATTATACTTTTGTGACAATTTTTTTACTAGTTCATGTTTTGTAAAGATTGGTCTTAGTAAAAAATGTTTTGTCTGTTTTTCCTTTAGGGTTGTAAAATTCCCTTGTACTTCAGAAGTATTTTCTTATACATATTATTTTTTCCATACTTAGACATGTAGCAAGAAAAGGTCTGACAGAAAACAGTGTCCTATAGGATAAATGAAAGATGAAGGCTTGCAGTAAGCTAGCAACAGAATTATGTTTTCATAGCAATCTTATAGGTGTATAGTATTTTCACAATCCCTCTCATTTCCACAGTGCAGTATTTGCTAGAAAGATTTTCAAACTTCCCATTTTTTTCCTATATTAAGACATAGATTACACTGCAGGGATGGTATGAGACAGATCACTATGTCCACCTCGTTATGTACTTAAGCCTTGTTCTCAGCATTACGAATTGAAGCATATTAAAAGCAGCAAATACATACTTCATGGACGAACATGGGATAGCTTTTAATGGGTGAAGTTGCAGGACTTTGATCAGAGCGAAGAGAGGGACTTTCGGTAAACTTAATTGTAGGCCATGTTTTATTGAATTGTGATTATGTAAAGCACTGTGCTATCCGCATTTCAGGTATTGTTGGAATGACCTGCTTGACCGCATTCAGTGCAGTGAAGAAGAACTGGACAAAGCGCTCCTAGATATGGAGGCTTATCACTTATATGGTATGATTTCTTATATTTGATTTATTTTAGAGTTATTCTTTATAGTGATTTCCTTTCTCTTCATATGACAAAACACATGGACTCGTATTCCATCAAATCACGTCCACGCGATCAAAACTATTTTGAAACGTTTGCGTATAGATGGATTACATCCTTTCCTTCTGTTTCAGGATTTTGGCAAGTCCTGGAGTTTGATTATAGATTCAAAGTGGTATCCCACATTCTCAATCTGATTGAAGAAAAGACCTTGCCCCTCGATGGAATTCCTCGGATTTCAACCATTAAGGCTCTCAGCGAACTTGAACCCCGTCCTGTAATTACGCAGTGTTTTGATTACTACTTGAAACCTACAGGTGTTGACACAGAGGATGGTAAGGTGTTAGATTTTTCTTCTTCCTATGATAAAACTAATTATGATAATGATGATGATGGTATTACTTGGTAATACCATGGTATTTGTTTTCCGTAAAGAAAAGTAGTAGATACAGTGAATAAAGGTAACATGCTTTTATTTTCATTTGAGTCTTAATAATAGTCCTTTAGTGATGATTTACTTATTTTTAGTAAGGAAAAAAAAAAAAAGTACTATTGCTTACAAGGATTTGCAGATACAGCAAGTATTTCTAGACTTTAACAATGTTTCTAAAGTTCCTCATTATAATGTAAAGGCACAGAAGATCCACCATGAATGAAGTTACTGTCTATTTTTGTGAACATATACTTCTTATTGATATATATTTAGTCTTGAATTTATGAATCCTTCACTGATGTTACTGTCTTTTGCAGGAGACTCACTGTATACTTTGATTGATGACAAAATATGCCGTATCTGTGCAGAGGTCCTCCTGAAGCCTGCAGGGAAGTTCAACTTGAGTGAATTCCTTAGTATTTGGCAACAGAGTGTTCCAGAAGGTATGTGTGATAGGCCTTGAATGTTCTAATAAGACCTGGAAAGTAGCTTTAAGGAGAAATATATTTTTGATATACAGTTTTTCACTAATTTTATACATTATGAAAATGTTGATATTTTATGCCACAGAAGTGAGAAAGAGATAGGTCTTCATGGTGTTCATAAAAACTATATCTGCTTTTTCCTTAGGTCTTACAACAAACTTAAGTCAATTGGAAGGCCTGGCACTGGTTGATCGATCGTCAACACCTGAAGTGATATCGCATTTCCCTGTGTCTAGTTTGCCCCAAGATATACAAGAGAGATTTAGTTTTCTTTTTGAAACTCGAGAGAGGTGGACACTGGATGAAATCAGACCCTATGTTATGTAAGTTGTTTTATATGTGATTTTGTTTAGTTTTGTTGATCATTTTTGATCTAAGTTAAAAATTTCAGGTACCGTCTTTGGTACAATGATATTTAGTGCATCATCTTCTTATATCTTAATTGTAGATTTTTTATTCCATAGTTATAGGGTATGGTACATTATATTAGCACAATGTTTATTTCTAGAGTGTTTAGGTTTTTGCTCATCTTAGCCAAGTATAGAATAATGAGTATTCTTATATTTAAAATTTTCAGGGACTTGGCCGGTGAGAAGACTCCAGTTAATGCTATCTTGACCAAATATGCAAGGGCATCTACCCAGAATGGTATCAAGTACTATTCAGGAAAACATGCCAGATAGA